GACTTTGCCAAAATATTTCAGAAAATATTGACTTGAAAATATCTACAAAAATAGAGATTTTTTTTTTAAATAAAATAAGTTTCAGAAATATTTTTCCAGAAAGATCACCTCAGATGATTGAAGAGATTAAGCTTAAAACGTCTGCGTAAAAATATTTAAAAATTTATTTAAATTCAAATCGATCCTGCCCATTTCGTCTTGGATTACATTCTACTCTACTAATGTAGAGACATGTAATTCTTCCAAAAAAAAAAAAAATCATATCTCCGAAAAAAAAAAATTTAGCTACTAGGGATTCGGCTCGATTGTAGTTCAAAGTGCCTATTTTCTTGTGAAAAAGTTTGAAAGAAATAAAATATATCTGTAGATTTTCTAAAATTTAATTTCGAAAAATTTTTCATAAAAATAAATTTAAAAAATGTATTAAAATAAAAATCTATAATTTTACCATTCTATCTTGAAGAGGCGATAGTTGAAACCCATTAGTTTTTACAAATTCGTGTGCAGTTGAAAAAAAGAATCACCAGATATCGATTTTTATCTAAAAAAAACAAAATATCTTATAAGTCACACCAACACACAACATACTTCAGTTTCATCGAAATTGAAAATCATGCCCGTACCTGACCGGTTGTCTTGAAATGGAAAGCAGCATATGCATTAACATAAAATATTTTTAACTTAGTTTCATTACAAAAATCTTATTATCAATTTTCTAAAAAAATTTAGCTGGATTTGTTTACAATTTGTCAATTAATGACTGGTTTCATAAGTGGTGCCACAAAATAATCAGCCGAATTGGAAAGTTCTTGTGCAGCGTTACAAAAGATGTGGGCTATTATTTTACTAGACTGAAAGCAATAATTGCCAAACAAGTAAAGTACAATTCTACGAAAAAAAACTGTATCAGTTCAGGACAATTCTCACATACCTACATACATACAGATGTGTTTATGTATAAAACCAAAATTTAAGGGAAATCCCCAAAAACTTTATTTTGAAAGTTCTACGAATGTTATTAATTAATTTCATGCTTCTAAGAACGAATATTTCGGCTTTGTTTAGAATTTAAATTCACTTAAGAATCCAAATCAATCTTTCATTTCTCGAAATTTGCAAATTTGACGCTCAGTATATAAACATGATTGGATGGGTACTGAATGATATTGAAATTTAAAAATATTAAAGGGTGTCTAAAAATTACACAATTCAACTTGGCTGTACGACAGCAAAGCCTACTGCCACGGAAACGATATTCTGCGTTCCAATAAGTAGTCCGATAACCGAAATGATGAGCTCGAGGTAGCATTCGCGAAAAAATTCCTACCTGCCTACCTGCCCGGAAATATACCCAATTTATTTCGAATACAAGAGTGGCTAAGGGGTGCCGCTACTTTCTTGCTCGGATTGCTCAAATTATACAAAGTTGTTGCATTTTTCTAAGTAATCCAATATTGGTGACCTTATTTAGGGTAGGTTATCATACAATAAATCCCTATACATATAGTTAGAGTACTGAGCTTAAGCTCGAAACTCGGAAAATTTCAGAAATATTACAAAAAATCACACATCATTTAATTTTTTTAAATTCGTAGAAACTGGTGCCGGGTTTTCTCTCGGCGCTTAATGACAAACATTTCAATGACGTAGTTCGGTATGAAAAAATGTCCATTGCGTTACGTTTACAGTCATTTCAATACCTAGTGGAAATTCAGTATAAAAAATACCCGTAATTTTTTTGTTCGAAAAAATTTCAACAAATTTCTACTTTTATTTATTTGCATACATATTCTCCAAAAACTAAAGAACAAAAATGTTGGCTTTTTCTTCCCGAAATATCTATTAAAAGTTTAAAAGAAAAAATTGTATTTTTAACACAAAATTTATTTATTTTTTTCAATCATGCCTTGAAACTATTCATGACCTATAAAAGTGTAAAAGTGTGTTATATGTATGTATTTCACTAAATTCGGTAAGCAGCTTTTAATTTTGGAACACCCTTTATGTCGTATTTCAATGAAAATTAATCTAAATATTTTGAGTATCTTGTACACACGTAGCCACATACATACATACATGTTTGCATACGTATTTATCTATTTACATACATATGTACCTACTATGTATACATACGTACACAAACTTACAACTTTTAGCTTCATTGGCGTAAGTAAACCTTCCACCCCAAACCATCAGCAGGCGTAGAAGAAAGCCAATAGTAACAGAAACACCACAGACTTTGTGGCTCTCAAGACTCGTGACCAGGGCTACCGACTTGGCTCAAACCGTGACATTTTTGGCCCTATTTTACTTCAAATGGCTTTTAATTTTTCAATTTGTTACTTTTAAAAAAGGTAATATTTTAATAAAATTAGCGTGTACTTCTTTTGCTCAACAATTTTTTTTTTTAATTTCTATAGTGTATACAACTGGTTATTTTACCCCTTATTCTTCTATTTGGCACATTTTGGCCTTTTTTCATCCTCAATATGGCACTTGCTAGCTAAGTATAGTTGGCAACCCAGCTCGTGACGTAGTTGGTCACAGCTAAAGAGCTATGGTCTGATTATGGCAACTTAACGTAAATTACAGACTCTCACTTAAAAATTCTCTTAAATGGATGTTGCTTAAAGCTCAGTTAGTCTAGACTTAACTTAATTTAGCTTGCCATAAGAAATCATCAACGATTACTCACACGTCCAGAAGCGGAAATTTTTTTTTGTGCCACATCACAAAATCCCGGCAAAAAAATAAACAGGTTCTTAGTTGCTTGCGGTAAGTTTTAACTAACCGCCAACACAGTTTGTCATATAACAGGTTGAGCAAAATATTAAGTTAAGTTAAGTTAAGTTACGGAAATTAAGTCTAGACTAACTGAGCTTTTATAATTGAACAGCCGAAACTTAACGTAACTTAATGCCACGTCGAAATCTGTTTCATTTTGATTTTGTAAGTTCTATGTTCCGTTAAGTCAAGTTAAGTCGTCATAACCAGGCTTTTAAGGTGCCACTGCCATCAACAACTTTTCAGGCGTTGCAGTCTCTCAGGGATGCCAGCTTCGTGCAAATTATTTCACTGCAATGAAATTTTAGCTTTGTGGAGATTGCGTGAATAGTTTCAAATTTAAGGCAAAAATAAATATTTGACTATAATGTCACATGCATTTGTATGTAAGTATGAATACATATGTATACTGTTACCTTAAAAAAGAAAAGCCCTATCTCACATCGTCGCAGAAATACCTCCTTGACGAGCCTGGAGGTGACCGTTCTTTTGGAAAGGGCCCTTATGGCCGCCTAGCTATCTGAAAATATAACTAGAAACGCGCCATTTAAACGCTTCTCAAGGTTCAATCCGGCACAAATTGAGATTGCTAGTACCTCGGCCTAAAAGACGGTGGACAAAGTACCCATGGCAATAGAGAGTTTGGTGCAAGGAGCAAAGACATCCGCTCCTGCTCTGCGCTCCATATTTCCTCCGTCTGTGTAAGAGTTCACTAGTTCTAGTAAATCAGTTGACCAGATATCTCGATCTGGAATTTTGCCCTGAAATTTCCTTCCAAAGCAGATTTCCTTTGGCATAGCGTCGGCGAATTCGCAGATTCCTAGGACTAGTATTTTCTCAAAATACCTTTGTGTGGTGTCTTACTTTTAAAAGTACTGTCAGAATTTTGCATTTGCAAATTTCTCGAAGCTGCTGCTTCTTGGACAAAAATGTGGTGTGGGGTTAAACCTAGGAGCGACTCTTAAGACCGCGGTTGAACACGTTCTCATTGTAGAGCCATCCTTTAGAGTGTTTTCAGACGCGAAAAGGGCAGTTTTTTTGCAATGTTTGTGGCAATGTTCAACTGCAAAGTCTTCCATAGGACCACATGGCCCTTGTGGCTTTACTAAGAGTTTTGTCTAGCTGGAAATTCCAGGTCGTCCGCATAACCAACAGCATCGTAACCACTTTCCTTACTTAGTTTGGTCAAGAGGTCATCCACGACGAGAGACCAGAGTAGAGAAGAAAGAACATCTCCCTGTGGGCACCCTCTTGTGGCTCCATTTCTTCTATTCTTTTATTGTTAAGTTGGATTAATTTTTTTGAATTTTGTGCAAACCTTGAAACTGTTATTTATTTTTTCTTGCAGCGGGTGCAATTTTGCTTGTTAACGTTTACGTTTACGTTAAAATCTGAGTCATCGCTCATGGTGATTTTTGTTTTACATAAGCATCAACGTTTGAATCACTTCTACGCACTATTCAACTGAGTTTTGCTCCATGACTAAGTTTGCCAAAGCCTGATGGTAGTACCAATTGTCTGAAAAATAAATAAAATAAAACATTAACAGCCAGTTTCACCAAACTATTTAAGTGGAAATTAACTTTAATTTAATTTTGTATTTAATTCTCATTTAAATAATTTTCAGTTTCAATAAACTATTTATTTAAGTGAGTAAAAAGTGGTTGTAAAACAGACTAGGACTAGCTTTCGCTTTCATTTGTACTGAGAGCTTTTGAAAGCTTTGGCACGCTGTGTTGTAAAAGCAGGGCTGGTATACAAGTAAGCAGCAGNAATTAAAATTGATTGGTGAAACCGAAATTAAAGTAATTTTCACTTAAATAATTTGGTGAAACTGGCTGTAAGCATATCACAAATAATTGCTGTTAAATATCTGAATCACCACCTTTTATCACCCGATTCTTTACATTCGCGGTGCCACATTTAAAAATACTAAACGGGAAATTGAGACAGTGTTGGCAACCCTAGTTACTCTTTTCCAGCAAATTCTCTGCAATAAGCGAGTCATACAAGTATGTAAATATGCGCTCACCCATTTTTGCACGCTGCTTTAGTATACAATGGTTGTTGAACGATCTTTTAGATAGCCGCTTTTCGTTGTGTATTCTTATTATTTTTACGATTTTTTTTTTTTACTTTACTTTTTTTCATTTGCCTACATGAGGAAGCGCGCGTATGTATATCGAGCTAATGCGCTGCTGGTGAGCTACGATCAGTTGAATGGCAAACCTCGTATGGAAAAGTACATGAATTTTTACGCGATCGCTTTTTTTTGTTTCTTTCTTTTACAAACGGCAAAATCAAGTTTCGTTAATTTATTGATTGCAACGGCGCGTAGGTTGTAGTTTTGGAAAAAGAAATTAATAAAATAAATAGGTATACAAATCGGAACAACAATGTGCAAAATAAAAAAAATAAAAATCGAGCTTTTTTTGATAATTCGTAAAAATTTTAAATACATAAAAGAATTAAAATTATTTTTCTGCTTCAAACCGCCAGCGGAAACAAAGCTTTTGTTTACACATCCATTCTGCGTGTTTGTCGCTCACAAGAAATATAAAAAAATATACACATATAGGTACCTACTTAGGTATACTACGTTCTGTGTAGCTGCTACTTAGACGTTGATATGCATATATATATTTTTTTTTAGTTGCTTTGGCATGTTTATGATGGACAAACAAAGTCAGAAATCGAAAAAAGCAGCGAGCAAAGTGAACCGCTGATGCGCATAATAATAGAGTAGACTAACAAACGTAACATAAACAGAAATGATATTGAAAAAAAAAGTTTTATGGAATAAAATTTTAATTACAAATGATATTGCAAATATCCACTATTTCTTATCCCCCAAAATATCTGGAATGATAACTCATTTAAAACATTAATTTACACATGAAAACTGTTTTGGGATACAAATTATGGCTCCTCAAAAGATTGCACCAAAAGAAATTTCATAACAACAACAGAGAATTGCACTGAAAATAAAAAGTTGCAACGTGAACAAGTCCAGAAATAACAACGCATAAATTTTGTTTTATGAAATACTGAGCGTGTTAGCTAGAGAGTCATAATAAGCAAGGTAATCTCAGTGAGCGCGCTTATCGTGGACAGTGTTGCCAGAAGTATAGATTTATCTTCAAAAATCTTATCTTTAAAAAGAACTCGTTAAAATCTTAAATTGTAGATATTTAAATTCAACCAAAATTTCATATAAAAAACCTTCACTATAGAGACCTTCGGCAGCGCTTGCAGATTTTCCAAATATGTGGTTTTAACATCAGATTAATTAAAATAAAACAAAAATTGGTAACAAATAGAAACCACGTCTTTAAGCGGTATTCTTTTGGATATACAGTGACTCAAACAAGTGTTCACGTGTGGATTTTTTTTTTATAAATAATGACAATACCTTTCAAGGTATTTTTCTATAAAAATCTTAAACAAGATTTAGGCAAAACCTTATATGTAAATCAAAGCTTCAAACTTTATACAGAATTTAGAAAACTGTAACAAAATTTCGAGCTTTTTAATCTGAATTTGTACAAAATTTTTGAGTATGCAGTTTTATAGCCCATACGTTTCAACCGACTAAAAATTCGCGTGATATTCGTGAAGAAAAATTAATTATAACTTTGTACGAAATTGGCAGTTCTATGCAAAATAGAAGCAAAAAAAGTCGGAAGAATTTTATTCATTTAAAACTGATTGAGACTGGAATATTTCTATCTAGAAACATCCATTTAATGTAACTTCATATCGAAACCCCTATCTCGGCAGCCAGTTCGAAAACGCCCTATATGAGAAAACTTTTCAAGAACACCCTACTTCAGACTTTGGTTGAAGAGCGCCTTATCTCAGAATTCGGTTTAAAAACGCAGTATCTCAAATGAAAATATATTGAAAATGAGTCTCCCGTCAGAAGTTTTTTGTAAATTTAAATCCTCAAAAAAAATGTTTTCTTAATTTTTTTAGTTTTCTGATTTTTGATAATTTATAGCCAGTTTCACGAAAGTAATTTAAGTAAAAAGTTATTTTTTTAGTTGAATTTAATATTAAAACTGACAGAAGGCAAAAGATCATTTTTCGCTTATTCGGGTGACAAACGGGCTCGCTTATTTGCATAAACAGCCTTTAGTTGCATTAACTCACACATTTTCCTCTTGCAAATGCGCATAAGCAACCGAACAAATGCACGAAATTTTTTTTGGAATCAACTCGGATCAGGGGAATTTTCGTTGACAGCACTGGTAAAAACGGCCAGTTGTGGTCTTTTGTACAAGCAAGCAAACAAAGAAGCGAGTTTGGCGTCCGCGATAGCCGAGTAGTGAGAGTTGCATGCTACAAGCCAGCAGCTGGATGGATCGATCCTCGTTTGGAGCGATTGCCAAACATTTTTTGTTTCTGTTATTTATTTCATTTTATTTTTAGTTTATGTTTAATTTTACTTTTATTTGTTTTATTTTTTACATTTGTTATTTTACTCTTAGTTAATTTAAATTTTTAGAGTTGAATTTGATTAAACTGTCAACAACTAACTGAAAGCAATGTTAAAATATATAGAACATTAAAAAAAAGAAATGAATAAAAACGAAATAAATGAAATTTTACTGGCCGTCGGACTCGAACCCACTACCTTGCGGCTCGTTTATCCGCATTACTGCCGTCTGTCAGGGCAAAATTATTATGCGCATTTGTG